ATTTGATTTGGTATAATTGGTATGTTAAATAAATTTGGTGTAATTATTATTTGACTATTAAACTATTAACTTGTTTATAACTAGAGTTATAGAGTTATATAGTTTAAATAATATTATTTAAAGTTGCTAATCTGAATAGATCAATAAAAAATTTAATCTCTGATTTTAAATCTTTTAAAAATAATATTACTTGTAAGTGAGCTAAATAAACATTTGTTGGATCAATTTGGTATAATAATTTTTTTATAGCAGATAAGTATTATTCTACACTTTCAGTTAGTAATTGTTTTCTTTGATTGAGTTATTGTTGTCATTCATATATTTTCTCAATTATTTTAAATTATAGTTTAAATTGGTATATAAATAATACTTGTTCATTAATTGTATTATCAGAAGTATTTGAATTTAGGCCAATTTGCTATTGTTATGTACTTATTTGCTAATCAGATATTGGCAGATTCTTTTAAATAAGCTCCAACAATTATTATTTTTCTTGTATTAGTTATATTATTTACTTAACATACACTTTTAAAATCTTATAATTATCCAATTAGATCTTGAATATTACTATAAAAGTCAACTATTTTTGCAAATAATAATTCTCTTGTGAGTGCTGGTACAGCTACTTGAATATTAATTATATCAGCTAAATTATTCAAATTGATCATTAAGATATTAAATTGAAGATTATCTATTGTTGATAATAAATTATTTTCTGAATTGGTATAGTTTGAAAGTTTGTTGTTAAAGTTCTTCTTCTTTAATTTGATATTTTGTATTAGTAAATCACTTTGAATTACAATTTAATTTTCTGAATTCTGGAGTTCAGCTAGTTGTTCTTAAAGTTTTTATTTCTAATAAGCTTTTCTTTGTATTAAAAAATTTGTGATATCTTGTTGTAGATAATATATATATACTTGAATTTCTTGTTCACTTTGATAAGAATATTGTTTTAGCAATTTGCTGAATTAATTAATTGGTTTAGTGGTTGTATTTTCTATATAACTTTTACTAATTATTTTAGTTATTTGTTGTTTTATTTTCTTGAGTTGTTCTCTGATTAAAACTTTTTTTAAATTAACTTTATCACTTAGTTCTTCAAATAATCAATTTATTTTAATACTAATTAATTATATTGAATTCAATTTGATTTATTGATTTGAGTAGTTTATCATTCACAAAGAAATTGTTTACTAATTAATTTGTTGTATTTGATACCTTTGAAGATTTCTTTTTCATAGAGGGAGCACCAAATATTTCTGTTGATTTTATTATCTTTTAAGTATAGATTACATGTTCTTTATGTATTTTAATTAAGTGGGAGAGTTATTAAAGATTTTTATATATTTAAGGTAATTAGAATTGGAAGAAACTAATTTAATAAAGATAGGTAATAACATATTTGTTTTGTTGAACTGCTAGAATGAGTTCAGAAATCTTCTTTTAATTTAGTTATTAAGTAATCTTCTTTATTTATTAACTTTTTAATAAAATTATCTTCTTCTTATATTATAAATCTAAATAATATTAATTAACTTCGCAGAGTAATGATGAGAGGTTAATTATATTATTATAGATGATGTCACTTGTTATAGATGAGAGATTTTTTAAATATAAAAGAATACAAATAAAAGAGAAAAGAAATAATTAATGCTTGACTGAAAATCTCTAACTCAAGACTTATAATATGACTCACTTCTAAGAAGATTTTGTTAAAGGAAATTAAAAGGTAAGAAAATTCTAATCAAAATGATTATTATCAAAAAGATTAAGTATGAGAAGATTAAGTATGAGAAGATTAAGTATGAAAAGATTATAATCTATAAGAAGATTATTTTCTCAAACTAAGATACATGTTGTATTTATACAAATTATTGTTACTTAACCTTCAAATATTAAAGCTATTTTTGATTAATATTAAGGTTACAAAAAGTGCTCGCTTGATGATTGCATATCACTTACTCACTTGATGGTTGTACATTGCTCGCTCTAATATTATATAAATTTCACCATTAATATTAATCAAATTTAATTATATAGATTAATTAACATGTGCTTTCATATTAATAATAATAATATGAATTAAATATAATTAGTATGAATTATAAATAATATAGAATGAGATAATATAAAAATAAAATGAAATAGAATGAAATAATATAAATATAGAATGAAATAGTATAAAAATAGAATAAAATAGTATGAAATATGATAATAGTATGAAATATAATAAAAATAAAATGAAATGTTATAAAAATAGTATGAAATAAATATAGATAATATAAAATAAATATGAATATGATTTACAAATCAATTATTCAATGAAAATTAACTATGAAAAATTATGTGATATGTTAAAATTCATATTACAACAATATTATTTTAATTTTGTAAAGTTTTATATAAGTATAGAAAACTAGTTTCTTTATTTTTTTTTCTTTTTTCTTTTTACTTTTTTATAATACTTCTATATTATTATTTTTTTTAAGTAAACTCAATTTCTATAGAAATTAATATAGATCTTAGATAATTTTCTTTTTTTTAATATTTTTATTACTTTTTCCTAATCTAGATTCAAGTTTGTAATTAATAATTAGTAATCAAATTTATAATAATATAAGATTAAATTTTTATATTAACTATATAATCAAATTTCTCTATAATTATATTTATTTATAGTTATACATCTTTATAATTACTTTATTTTGCTTTTTCAAGAATAATAACTATAAAGAAATTTAATTATATTATATTTAATTATATTAATTATAATTTAAAAATTAAAACAAGTAATTATATTAATTTAATTACAAAAATCAAATATAATATATAATTTAATTACAAAATTATATATAGTGATAATTAAAAATAATATAATAATATTAAATTTATTAATAAAATATAGTAAAATACAAATTTTTTTCTTTGTATAAAATTTTTTAATTTTATTAATAAATATTTTTTATTTTATATTAAAATAAAAATAATATTATATATTTTAATATATATTTTCTTAGATTTTTTAGATTAAGTTATTCTAATTATATATAAAATTAATAATTAAAATATAATTAAAATATATAAAAAATTATTAATTTTATATATAATCAAAATAACTTGATTAAATTAAATCTAAAAAATATATGTTAAAATATATTAATTTATTTTTATTTTAGTATAAAAATAACAAATATTTAAAATAAAATTAAAAACTTTTATATAAAAAAACTCATATTTATTATATTTTATTAATAAATTATATTATTTTTGATTGTTATCATATAATATATAAATTTAAATAAAAAATTTACAAAAATTTAATTTTATTATAATAACAAGTTTTTAATTTTAAATAAAATAGTTATCTTAAAATTTTAATTATAAATTAAATTTTAAAAAGCTAGTATAAAATTTGCAAAATTATCCAGTTTTAATATTTTTATAAAATATAAAATATTATAAATTAATAAATTTCTTTTTTTTGTTAACTTTATATATTTAATAAACAAAATTTTGTAATTAGAAATTAATTTTATTAATAAAATATATTAAAAATAAAATTTTCTCTTTATTTTAACATTTATAATTTTATTAAGAAATAATTTTTGTTTTTTATATTAAAGTAAAGTTTATAAATTATAATTTAGCATATATATTTTTTTAGATTTTTCTGAAGAAATTGTTTTAATAACAAAGTTATTGCAAAAATTTTTTTCAATTAAAAACCAAATTTAATTAAAAAAAATTTTTGCAATAACTTTACTATTAGAATAACTTTTTTAAAAAATATCTAAAAAATCTAAAAAAATATATGTTGAACTATAACTTATAAACTTTATTTTAATATAAAAACAAAAATTATTTCTTAATAAAATTATAAACTTTAATATAAAGAGAAAATTTCAATTTTTACTATATTTTATTAATAAAATTAATTCTTAATTACAAACTTTTGTTCATTAAGTGTTTCATATAATAAAATTAATTTTACTATAATTGATTTAACCAATTAATTATAACAAAAGTAATATTATTTTTATCTATAATTTTAAAAAAAATAAAATTTTGAGAAATTTATAATATTATATATATTATTATTAAAATTCATAATTAGTATTTTTGACAAATATTATCTAATAATAAACTTGCATTTTTCTAGTAATATTATTTGAAGCTTCTTTTTATTAATATAAATTTATATTAAGTAATACAGTTAGAGCTGGTTATAGTAATATTCTTTATAATAACATGCTGGTTATAGTAAAATGATTTGCTTAGTACAAAAAAATTTTTATATTAATTATTATTGGATAAAGTAACATTAACAGAATTTTGATACTATAACAACACCAAAATCTCTCTCCCGATCATGTTATTGTAACCAGAGTTGACTCTCCTCTCCCCCAATAAATTGTACCCGGTCCGATGCATGGTTTACAAAGTGAGTAGAATATAACGTACTCGCTCTCGTAATTCTGGTCAAATATAGCTAATTCTGGCTGAAACTATCATTTCTATATAGATTATTCCCCATATAATATACCCTCCTGCCGTACAGTGTACTCGGTGTACTTCCCCGGGGGTAAATTACGGTATTATATAAGAAATATATTATATATTAAATAAAAGAACATTCTAGTAATTATTAATAATCTAAATTACCCGTAATTATTGTTTATAAATATTTTATAATATGTTTATTTACTGATTTGAAAGAATATTGTTATCTTTTAGTACATCATTTAACTTCTAGTATTATTTATCATATAAGTAAATCAGAGATATCAATATTTTGAAACTATTAGCAGATAAAATAAGATTATTCCGGCCATAAAGATGATAAAAAGAACTTTGGGTTAAAAATATAGATAAATGCCCTTAAAACTTAATCTAATCATATGACTGAAAATCAAATGATTAGTTTGCTTATTTTTGATGAATTTTCAAAAAAATCCACGCATAAATTATAAAAAAATTTTACTAATAGCTCAGGGTCCCATTTAATCCTTTACACTTTCTTTAATCCAATTAAGATATTTTGTACTTCCTTTATCAATCTGTTCATCAAAAGGGGTGTTATATAGAGTATTTCCAATTTAAATCAAGATCGCAAGCCCAGCATGCGCTTACCTTAATTGAGATGACTCCAGGAACTTCATATCCATGATTCTTATTAACATAATCTGTAACTTCCCGAACATGTTTGTCTTCAGTTTTTACGACGAGCATTTGCTCCGCAGCCTCCTCAATATGTCCATCCCACCCTGTAAAAATAAAACTTTTAAAGTTCAAAGCGTAATTGATTGTTAAAAGGAATTCCTGTCAAATATTTGACAACTTACAATAAAGCGAGGTCAATCCATGGATAACGTTGACACAAGCGGCAAGTTTCTCCTCGACTAGACCTTTTTATTTGTTACAAAACATTAATTTTTTAATGCTAAAATAGGAAAAAAACGAACAAAGGCAAACAAACCTCTAGACAATTTTTTTGCCACAGATTCATCCGGACATGTAACCAAAACGATACGAGCCGTAACTGGATCTTCTTGGGACATTACTGAGAGAGTAGAAGTTGTAGAGAATAACCGAGGTAGGTGTGTATAAATTAAAGAACAGGTGAAAAATGTTCCTACACGAAGTCGGTTTACAAGCATTTGCGACTATCTGTTGTCCGCCCCAATATATTTGTATTGTGTCACAGTCAAGATAATTTCTATTGGTATACTTGTAGTTTGAGTTATTATTATGTGAAGCCTTTGTTTTCATGTGGTTCAATGAACTGAAACACAAAACGGAGTGTACCCATACTCGTTTAAAAGCGATAAAACCACAAATGGCAACTAAAAGTTTTTCCCGCCTATAGCATTCCTGAAGGTTTGGGTATAATTACCACCAGGTAACTAACTTTTCACTTAAGAATAGGGTTCGCATTCTTTATAAAGACGTTTTGTGGATAGTAGTGATACGACCCCAACTGAGTTTGAATTTTGACAATTTTTTTCTTACGCCCAAATTAAATACATTTGAAAATTTTGAAAACATTGGAAATTTATTAAAAGGATAAATTATATTATTAATTTGGGTTTTCATTTTAGTTTGGGTAGTATCCCTAGTGGATAACCTCTGAAATCTTAATATTCTATTTGCCACGCTTCGACTATCCACCCATAATCATTATTTAAAAACGTGGAGACGACATAATGATGGCTGCGACACACTGTCCCGATTGTCGGAAAAAATATAGTCCAAAGAAACCTTGGTGCAAGTGCGATTTCCCAAAAGTGTTTGGTCAATGGACGAGTGGTGATAACGCAATCGACGAGTTTATCAAAATGACACAAAATCAACTTGGAGCCGATTATGACGACAATTTCTTGGAATGGATTCCTTTCGACCGCTTCCGTAATAAAGAAATAATTGGACAAGGTGGATATGGGACTGTCTATTGCGCAGAATGGATTGATGGAAAAAGATCTTGGGATCTATCTACCGATCCATCGACAAGGACGCGACAACCCTGCAAGGTGGCATTAAAGAGTCTAAACAGCGAAATGGAATCTCATCAAATGTTTTTGGATGAAGTAAGTGAGATAAATCCAACCGCGTAGAAATCGATTCACTTCCAACTTTTTTAATAAAATATAACCAACCCTTTTACAAGGTTCGTTCTCATTATGACACGCATAATACTTCTTGGGTAACCACCTTCCCAATGTATGGCCTTTCCCGAGACCCCGATACACAAGTATACTTGATCGTTATGCCATTCATCGAGAATGGTAATTTGCGTACATACGTCCACAAAAACTTCCATGCAATAAATTGGGAATTTAAACTCCAATTACTCTATAGTATCGCACTTCGACTATTTCAGGTTCACAATAAGAATATGATCCACAGAGATTTACATGGCGGAAATGTACTTGTGAAAATTGATAAAGACGGTAAAGGAAGCGCTGAGATAACGGATTTTGGACTCTGCCGTGCTAAGGAGAAGATAGAACGTGGAGAAGTCTTTGGTGTCTTACCTTACGTAGCCCCAGAAGTATTGAAAGGTGAGGAGTACACTAAAGCGGCTGATATTTACGCTTTCGGTGTTATAATGTGCGAAATGACGACAGGACAGCCAGCGTTCTGTGATCGCGCCCACAATACGTCATTGATATTGGATGTCATCAATAATGGAGTTCAACCTGATATCCTTGACGGTACGCCTCGGGAATATGTTCATCTGGCAAAACGTTGTCTTGATGCTGATCCAGAAAAGCGCCCAGCTACATGGGAGCTTCGCAATTTTTTTTCTAATCGTCGTGCTACCCAAAGTGTTCCACAGGAATATCGCACAGCGGATGAACGCAAAGAGAGCATTGTACTTACACGTTCACACCATGTTCATCACACCGATGCCATCTACACAAGCCGTCTTTGGGATATTAAAAGTTTAAAATTTGATAACTCTGATTTTCCATCTGATGAATTTTAAAATAAAATCACCTTATGCTATCAATATATATTATTTATTAGTTCGGCTTCCTTTTCCCTGGATGAAAAATTAAACTTGATAGTCTGTATATCATCTTTATTTTATATATCCTTACGATATTCTATTTAATAATAATATTATAATAATAATAATAACTTTTCCCCTGAAACATTGTTCTCGATCAGAAAAATGCATTTTTTTTTTCACATGTATCGAAACAATAATTATATAGAGAAAAATTCTAATTACAATTTATAACGTGGAAAAAGGCATCCTAGTGTATTATTACACTGGTAACACAAATTTTTTTTTGGAAACGCATTGTTTTTTTTTCCTTTTTCTCCTTTTTTTTTATTTACGTCAATCACTTGTAATAAATTCTCTGTAATATGAAACAAAAAAATATATATAATGAGAGCGAGAAAGAGCAATTAAAAGAGAGAATTGGCAATAAAGCAATTAAAAGCCTTAAAAATATAATTACTTGTGTACAATAAGTTCTTAGTGCTTTTTCATTCTCCATCCTAATAATAATCCATTGTTATAAAGAGGGTTTGCCACTTTGATCCAGAAAAGTGGGACGATTACGATTTGAAGGGTTTGTCACTTTTGATCCAGAAAAAGTGAGATAATCGTTTTAACAACCGCAACGATTGCTATTGGAGGGGTTTAAGCTTTTGGTCCAGAAAAAGTGGTTGTGTTATTAACGTTTGTAATACGTGGACGACGATTGAATACAACAATATCCGAAGATATTGCCACCCAAGTTACAGATAAGCAGCTAATTCCTATAATCGGCCCTAACCTGTAACATTTTGGTGCCATCCCTCTGTGGAAAAACTTATTCAATACCCTACGGATTTGAGACCAACAGCGAAGTTATCGATCAAAAATCAGAACAAGATAGTGAAGAACGGATTGTCTTACAAGAATACCTCGGCGAAAACGCCAAAAACAACGACGACAGTAACCAAGACTCCGAGACATCAAACGAAGGAACCGACGGAGACTCTAAACGAAAAATCCAACATGGTCTACATAGAAAATTTAACTCAACTTAGTCAAGCCATGAACGCTGGCCTCGCCCGATGACCCGAAAAATCCTTATACCGATACGAAAATTTCGAGGTGAAAACCAAGACCCGGTCGAGTGGCTGGCAAAGGAATAAAGGAACAATTAAAAAACTTCGCGACACTGGAGATAGGGAAAGCCATCCTCGCCAGACATATTACCGAATACGACGTGGAAGAAGAGGTGGCGTGGGTTGACTAAGATGCTTTGCGCAAAAGATATTTATGGAAACCTACCAGCAGATTTCTCCCGATCGAATGCAGCTGGCTCGCTTGAAATATATTAACGTCCAGCTTTGCGAAGAATGCCTATACCTTGTAGCCTGGGTAAATGTGCAGACTGCGTACAGTCTGATCAACCAACCGGAACTGAAGAAAAAATTGGATTAATCGAAGAAACGAATAGTATGAATTTGATGATTAAGATGTACAATGATAAAGAAAAGGGGAAATTACCTGAGCGAGCCCATCCAACAGACGCTGGCTTTGATGTTCGATACCCCGGACAAACGCCCATTCAGCTCACACCACGACAGACAGTATTAATATCGCTTTCGAGGTTCCCGTAGGAACCGTATGTCAGTTGATGTCTCATCCTCCCTCGCTAAAAGAGAAATCGAAGTTAAAGGAGGAACGATCGACGCCGGTTATACAGGAAACATTTGTGTGTTGCTATACAATAATTCTGAAGAACCTTATCTGATCGAACCAAACGAACGCATCGCTCAAGTCATTTTCTTACAATTGGCCGAGGTCTCTGGAATACAATTAGTAAATACTCGGGAAGAACTAGGGAAGTACGCCTCCATCTCGTCTTTTCCGGTCGAACCAAAGCCACGATCGCCTCGGTGAGTCTTCCTAAACGAAAATAAAAATGAAAATTTTATCGAACAACGAAACTGAAGTCAAACAATTAGAAAATCTACTAGAAACTTACAAGGACATTTTTGCGAACGAAATCAATGAACTAGGATGCGCAAACGTGATTCAGCATCGAAAAGAAACAGAGACCAAAAAACCTATTCGACAACACGCTTATCGGGTGACTCTCCCGGATCAAGACTTTATTCGTGAAGAGATTCGACGTATGCTCGAAGCGGGAATCATCCAACGATCCAGTAGCCCCCAGTCTTCGCCGATTGTGGTAGTTGCTAAGAAAAACGAAAAAAAAAAACGACTGTGTAGATTATCGACGACTTAATTCGATAACTAAAAAGGACGCTTCGCTTACCATTGCCAAGAATTGACGTAATGATGGACAGTCTTGGGGAATCGAAGTGGTCCTCCTCTATAGATTTAACCTCTGAATACTGGCAAATTGAGATGGAACCTCGGAGTATCGAAAAGACTGCATTCGTTTCAAGAGAAGTCTCTTCGAATTTAAGGTGATGCACTTCGGCTTATGTAATTCGCCTGCCACATACCAGAGAGCGATGGACGTTATCCTTGGGATTACAATTGGAAGATTGCTATGGTATATACATTGACGACATCAATGTTTATTCGACGAACACTTGCAGCATCTAGGATTAGTATTCCAGCGGATTCGAGATGCGAGATTAAAATTAAACTTTGAAAAATGCAAATTTACTCGAAACAGCTTGCCTTTTCTTGGAACGTCATCGGTCAAGACGGAATCTCGCCAGACCCGATCACTGTAGAAAAAGTTAAGAAATTCCCTCAGCCAACTCGGCAATTATATGATTTTTTATGGCTTGTTCAACTTGCTTTTTACTAGCACCAGCTGGCAAATTAAGAGTATTTTCCAAAGCATATAATTTAAAAAAATAATAGTGTTTACCAAATAAAGGAGCTGCGAACGAACAATTCTAGAACTGGTTCGGAGAATAAAAGATAAAGAAATTGATTGAGAAAGTATTTTGGCTACCGAAAAGAAACTCAAATTTCACTGTTCAGTTTGCCTAGCTACTTGACAGTTATTAGTAATTAGAACTGATTTACTAACTAAGTCCGACTATTAAAACGTTTCGCTCCTTCCTCAGCCTCGCCGGCTACTATCGAAAATTCGTCAAAGGGTTTACACAAGTCGCAGCTCCACTCTTTCAACTTCTCCGGAATGATGTCCATTATATCTGGACTAGATCAAGCGAACGTGTTCAACCTATTAAAAGAAAAAATTAGTTACGGCCCCAATTCTTATTTACCCATATTTCACAATAAAATTTTACCTGTATACGGATGCTTCTGACGCCGGATTAGGAGCTGTTCTCTCTCAAAAGTATGAACAAAACCGAGAACGAATTGTTGCCTACGCAAGTGTCTCCTTGAAACCCGCAGAAAAGAAATATAGCGTCACCGAAAAAGAAGCCCTTGCCGTAGTTTGGACCGTTCGACGATTTCGACACTATCTCCTTGGAACGCTTTCGAAATAGTCACAGATCACAATGCCCTTCGTTGGCTTTTTACCAAACAAACCAACCCTGGACCTCGGCTTTCTCGATGGGTTATGACTGATGGAATATACCTTCCTGATTACCTATCGCTCCGGCAAAATGAAACAGAACGTAGATACCCTCTCACGAATAGGATAATAATAATAATAAAAAAAAGGAAAAGAAAAGAAAAAATAATAAACCGTACAATAATAGATAATAAAAAAATTAATAATAATAATAACATCAAGAAAATAATAAAAACGAATAACACATACCCGATAAAGAGACATCCAAGCCTCAGCGAATTCAATTGAAGACATCCAAACCTCAGCAAACTTAACAAAATGGATTTAACGACATATTCCGATCTAATTCCGATTGCCTCAAACATATCCGTGCAAAAATACAATTCTTTCATTGAAAGCAAAGAAATAAGCGGATACAAGTTTGAATATAAAAAGGGTACTGTATATATAGTTGAAGTGTGTTTGACTGAACATGAAGCTGTTGTTGATATTATTGGGAGCTATTTCAGAGTCCATTGATACCTTAATATCTCGAAGGGTATAACAAGGAGCAACAAAAACGGATCAAAAACCAAGCGAAACATTACATAATTCAAGACGACCTACTCTACAAGATCAACCGAAGGAAAGAGCCCAACAATCCACTCCGCGTACTCAAAACGACCGAAATCGAAGCAATTATAAATAACTTACATGGCGACACGCTTTCTGGACAGTTTGGATTCGAGAGAACATATCAAAGGATCGCCGCAAGATATTGGTGGAATAATATGGGGAACAACATAAGGGACTTCGTAAAATCCTGCAAAACATGCCAATTAACCGGCGAACAGATGACTAAACAACCGCTACACCTTATCAAGCTTGGTCGACCGTTCGATCGCATCGTAATCGATCTCGTCGGACTTTGCAAGCTGACAAATAAAGGAAATCGTTATATCGTCGTGGCCATCGATTACTTAACCAAATGGCCAGAAGCGAAGGAAATTCCGAATAAAGAAGCCTCAACTGTGGCGACGTTTATCTTCGAAGAAATAATCTGCCGCCATGGATGTCCTAGAGAACTACAATCGGATCAAGGATCAGAGTTCACTGCAACAATAATCAACGAACTTACCGCAAAATTTGGCTTCAAGCATAAATTTTCCTCGCCGTATCATCCGTAGTATACATATCCCAATTTAATAGCTCAATAATTTTAATTTTAATTTAAATTAAATATATATTAGTTTTGTCCCATATCCCATATTAATATGGGTAACAAGAATAATCCGCAGACCAACGGGATTGTTGAGCGATTAGGACGCTCTGCACAATCCTACAAAAATATTGTATAGCATTAGAAACGGAATGGGATGTGTACATTCCAGTAGCTCTCTTTGCCTACCGAACGCACAGAAACGCGTCCACCCGACACGAACCCTTCTTTTTGACGAACGATTGTGAAGCCAGAATGCCGATTGAACGCCTATATCCAACTTCAAAAGAACACGACGCCGACCTTGACCAATAAACATTGAATCGCATTTTCGCCGTGATCCACCAACTCCCAACGACAATAGAAACGGCCATCGAACGAGCCGCCAAAAATCAGAAAAAAACTAAAGAACACCATGATCGACGAATAAAGACAACACCATTCGAAATTGGTAATAAAGTGCTAATCTACACATGAAGCAACATGTATGTACTGTATGGCGACAAGTTTAAACCGCAATGGCGCCTTGAGTGGTATTACATCCACGAGGTATACGGAAACAACGCTTACAGATTGCGCAATCAACGGGATTTGTTAAAGAAACCCTTCAATGGAACTCAATTAAAAAATACATGAATTCTCCAGAAATAGCTAATGACCACATGGTGTTAATTTCATCCCATGTTGACTCAGTTTATTAGACTCGTAAAGGAAATCGATCGCCTCAGCATGACCATGCCGATCGCGAAATTCAACAAACGACTAGTCAGATCACATTTCACGTGCTTATTTTGGTCAACATTAACCCAAGGGCGAGTGTTACAAAATTTTTTTTGGAAAGGCATTGTTTTTATTTACGTCAATCACTTCTAATAAAAAAATTTACACCATAAATTACACCATAACGATAAATTACACCGTAAATTACGCTGTAATTTGCTCAATAATTTCTTTCTGCAATATGAAAACAAAAAAATGTATAGAATGAGAGCGAAAAAGAGCAATTAAAAGAGAGAATTGGCAATAAAGCAATTAAAAGCCTTGAAAATATAATTACTTGTGTACAATAAGTTCTTCATTCGCCACCCTAATAATAATAATAATCCATTGTTTGCCACTTTTGATCCAGAAAAAGTGAGATAATTGTTTTAAATGGTTGTGTTATTAAAGTTTGTGAATACGTGGACGACGATTGAATACAACTATATCCGAAGATATTGGCACAGGACTAGAAAAATTAATAATAAAAATAATCTTAGTCTAACTCGTTTCTCACACCCAAGTTACAGACCAGCAGCCAATTCCTATAATCGGCCCCTAACCTGTAGATCATTATATGGCAAATTTTGGATCAGCCCGGCAAAACAAATCCGGCAGAAAACACAAATGCGAAAAATACTGGAAATAAATGCCTAAATCTAAGCTTGGAGTATTAACTTTGTCCTCCGCTCTAAACCTGATCCCGATTTTAACTTTAAAATAATCTTTAACGTTAATTTCAGAATTTTTCCGGGATCGGCGTAACCTAACATATTCCGGTTTTGTCGATCCCGAAAAATTCTACTGTAATGTTAAAGGTTGATGTTAAAATAAGGATCAGGGTTAAAGTGAAGATAAAGATTATGTGTAAAATTGCCTTTACAAAATTTTATTAGTATTTCAAGTTAGATTTGAATATCCATTTTTCGTATTTTTCATATTTTTCGCATTTTTCCAAAAATTTGCACATTATTTATTGGTTATATCACTAATAAATCGCATGCTTGTTGCTTGTCATAATGTCACGTGATCACACAATATAGTAAATTATCATTTAAAATCAAAAAGTCTAGAATTTTATCTTTATCAATTTCATTAAAAAGATTATAAATTTAAAAAATAATGAATAAAAATATTATAATGGAAATTTAATTATTAGTAGTATTTGTTTCAAATTTGATCTTGAATATATTCAAAAAAATAGTAAGATTTTAATATCAAATTTTTATAAAAGAATGAATTATATACAAATAGTATTAAAATTAATATTGTTTATCTAAGTATTGTTATATATATTTTAATTATACAAGTATTTATTCCTAATTCAAAAATAAATTTTATATTAATCATATTAATAATATTAAATATGATAATTAAATTATTAATTTGAAATAGATAACTTCTAAAAAATGCTATATATATATAGTATTTGAAATTTTATTTGTAACAAATCTAAAAAATTATGTGAAAGTTATTGAATAAAAAGATTGTTTTAATTTAAAATTTTATTATTCTCACATTAAATACTTTTAATATAGTAATATTTTTTAATATTATAACAAAAAGTTAAATACTAATAGAGAGTAATATTAAATATATTATTATATAAATAAAATTTTAATAAAAAATAAATAAAAATCAAAAATTCAAATTTTTATTCCTAGAAAAAGTTTAATTTTTTAATAATTTAATATTTTGAAAATTTCTAAATAAAGAATATCTCTAAATTACTTAAAAAATACTATATTTATTGCTTGATAATATTAGTATTTTTGTTTTAAAAAAGAAAATAAAGAATATATATCTCTAAACTATATTACCAGAAATTGAAAAAAATATAATAAAATATAGTAAAATTGATATTATTGCTTTATATTAAAATTTGTTATTTTATTAATAAATATTTTTTATTTTTATACTAAAATAAAGATGGTAATCTATATATTCTTCTAGAAAAATATATATTAAAAATATAAGTTATTATCTTTATTTTAGTAATAAAATAACAAATTTTAATATAAAGTAATAATATTAATTTTATTATGTTTTACTATATTTTTTTCAATTTCTGGTAATATAGTATAGAGATATATATGTAATATTAAACCTTGAATAATATTTATAAAAAGAAAACTTTTAGTATATTATATATTTAAATTTTAATATTAATATATAATCAAGCAGATTTTTAATAATAAATCTTTCTAAAAATTTTTATTTATAACTAAAATATAATATATTAAAATTAATTATATTGAATAAGAAATTTAATTTCATGTTGAAGATTATTATTAAGTGTATATAAATATAATAAGATATAATAAATATTAAATTATTTAATTATACAATATATTATTATTATAAATATTTATAAAATTATTTTTATAATAATAAAAATTTCTGTTATATTATTTGTTAAACAAAATTATGATAATTGATAAAACTTGTAATAATTATTAAAATTTGTAATAATTAATAAAATCTATAACAAAAATTTTTAATTAATCAAAATACAGTCAAATTTCTCTATAGTAATATCTATTTATAGTCATACCTCTTTATAGTCATCTTATTTTGCTTTTTCATTTATATATAAATATAGCAAAAAACTCCTCTATAATCACATTTTCTCTATAATCACCAAATTTTGCTTTACTAAGAGTGATGACTATAAAGAAATTTGACTACAATAGCTTAAATTATATGTATAAATTATATTTTAAATTTTAAAAATAATAAAATATATAATATTTATACTTATTAAAAATTTGATATAATTTTGAGCTTTATCTGATTTTTTAAATTTGATAATTTTAACAAATTAAACTATAAAAATAATAATTTAATGATATTCTTTCAAATTAATAGTATATTTTTTTAATTATTTGCTTTTTGATAAATTTTTAAAGTTTAAAAATAATTATCTTTATTAATAAATCTTTATTTTTAAATAATAATTTATATTAAATTAATTAGCAATTAGATATTATATATAAAAAATTAGATTAATAAAAATTAAATTAAATTATTATTATATAATATGATTTAATACAAAAAAATTTGCATTTCAAAATAAAAATTAATAATTATTTTTAATAATAATAAAAGTTATTTAAAATTTAACTAAACTTATACTAAGTAAATTAATTATTTAAATTAATTATTTTTATTAGTTTTTGTTTTTATTTAATAATAAATAATATAATAATTTTTAAAAATAAAATAAAATAAATTTACTATATATTTAATAAAATATATTTTAAATTTTATAAAGATTAAATTAGTAGTTATTGCAAAATTAAGTTTCAAAATTTAATAATTAAATTATTATTATATA